CTTAACCTTACTGAAACAACTTCCACGTAAGAATCCCAGCAAACTTTGTGGATCGGCACCGCAGAATGAGTGCCACACAATTATTGACGCTCCGTAGGTGTTCCACAAAGTGGCTACTGGTCTAAATTGTTCCCATCGAATAATCGATGGGACAGATATTATTGACTGGCATTGTGCGCCCGCATAGATCCATCTAACAACTGAAAGTGCAGCGGAAATTTCAGAGCAAGAGGAAGATCCTGTGATAGTCTAACTTGTTATTGTACGGAGAATCACATCTCTTGATTGACGGGCATATAAGAGACACCACATTTCCAGAAATGCAGTGGAAGTAGCTCAGAAACCTCAATATATTCTCAACTAGACTTCGATCTCGGCGCCAAGCGAACGCTTCATATCATAAGACAGCCCGTATATCCTATCTATATCGAAAGAGTGCACTGATACCAAGAAGTTCAGAGCACAAGATATTCAAGGTCTTGGAACTCGAAAAAGCTTAGTGGTTAGAGTACGAACTTGCTTACCCAACCCAATCTCAGCATCCCGAATCCACCTGCCTGGTAATTTCTCAGCCGTCGTGCTTGCTTCGAATGACATGGCAGCTAGCCACCGAAAGTGTACTTTAGCTTAACGACCGATTGATTCAAGATTCCGGGGACCGCAAATTGTCAGCGTCGAAGCTCTCACTCAATAAATGCTAAATCCATGCCTAGTCAATGGCTTCAGTTTCTCTGGAAGAATTATCCCTTCTTTATTGAAAGCAATAACATTCCGGATTTACTGTGAGCTCATGTACCGTCTCCAAGAGGTCCCGCATCTGAATGACCGTTTGTTTCCCGAGCATTTTGCTCACACTGATAGACTGTAAGAGCTGCGGGGTGACTCAGGCGTGTAGAACACTCCTGTTATCACGAAGAGACAACAAGCAAACCCAGTGTCTTCCTATGACTCACTTATGGAGTGCAAAAATCGATCGAGGTTGTAAGCTGATGTCAATCAAGCTGAAAATGAATGTTCATAAGGTCAGGCGTGCCAGAATCACGGCGGATTTGGTGGGCCACGTGACAAGTGAAACGAAAGTCAACGTCTTGTCTGTCTAGTCAAGGTTAATGCGACAACAAATATAGCAGCAAACATAAATTCATGTGACGAGTAGAAACAGCCATCATTGAGGGGCAGCTACGAAAGACAATCACACTGAACATCCATTACGATGATGCTTGTGTAAAACTTTTGACAGAATTATTTCAAAACCATACAAGGATCCAAGGGGTACGCCTACCAACGGAGTTTGATTGTATTTAATAACAGGAAGCCATCAGTTAATGTTCACAACAAGCGCACACATAACACACTTTTGAATCACATTAATCATGACATTCAAGATGGACAGGAAGTTGTGATGCATGACACACGCGCATCTGTCAGACCAATCCGGGGTCAAAGTGCGCAATGACCGACCACACTGGAGTTGCGTGTACGATAGTCTCATCTAAGTGAGCATCGATGCATAAACTCACAGAAATAAGTTAGTGCTGGAAACAAGAATAATGTATGCAGCAGGATACTTCCAGTAAATAAAACATATAGTAACAAATTCTGTTCCATAAGGAGCATTTGTTTTTGAAAGGGGGTTTTTACCGCTTCCCTTCAGAGACAGACGCACCTGTTGGCCGCATGTTTCACCCAAATACCTAGAAAAAGTCCTTCAGCTGAGTACCCTTTCGGTAACTAGCAGCCGTGCCTACGGAAGGAGGCACGAGGGCTGCCCAGTTCTAGGCAGGAGCAGTGGAATTGCTGAGGTTGGGTTCGAAGCTGGTGCCCTAAACACCGAACTATCTCGGCCTGTTGGTTGGCCGCATGTTTCACCCAAATACCTAGAAAAAGTCCTTCAGCTGAGTACCCTTTCGGTAACTAGCAGCCGTGCCTACGGAAGGAGGCACGAGGGCTGCCCAGTTCTAGGCAGGAGCAGTGGAATTGCTGAGGTTGGGTTCGAAGCTGGTGCCCTAAACACCGAACTATCTCGGCTCCTCCCACCTACAACCAGCGAATTCTGCGAGCTTACACACATCACCTATCAACAGTGCCCAATTAGTCTGCACATCTGTATTTGAGATATATGACATAATAAACTTCAACGTACAATGAACAATTTGACTGACGTACCTGTGGTAGTAAAACTACGGTTGGTTAGAAACTAATTTTGAAATGACCAGAAAGTGTGGGTCGGAAAAACAGGACATCTGCCGCGGAATCAGTCTTGAAATTTTCGCGTCGCAATATTACTCATTCTAACCTATGCTTCTAAATGGTATTTGCTTGGAAGCGGGACGATATTCAGTCTTACATATGTTAAATAAGGGGAAAATAGGTGGTGGAATTGAATCAACAATTACTTTGGGACCAATGACACATACAAATCTCCTGAACTTTTTATCTGAGTACAGAGACACCGCAGTTTTCTGTTCGCTTTGTCCTCTCAGTCTTTTCAAACCGTATTATGTATCACCAGTAAAAAAAAGCAAACAACCATTTTTGAAATATTCGGTCTAGTTACTCATTTCAGTATCTTTGTAGGCTAATAATTTTCTCTATTCAATCTCAGACGATGATGAACGTTTTAGCACGTACTTTGTTGGAATAGGCTAACACCTCGCTTACAGGAAGCACACCTACCCAGAGAATATCACTGATATAAAATGACAGGACGGACGACCTAGAAATTCACCGTTTGGAAAATTCGTTCTTTTCCATAACCAAAAAACTTCTAATTCTGCAAACTGCAATTCAACTGCCTCAACCATGATGTTATTCAAGTACAGCAACAAGTTGATAGAAACTCGGGTACCACGCCTACTTGATGAGTCCCAGGAAAGGCAAAGCCGGTAATGAGGTGTTGAGTTTTTAGCAACCCCACGAGTAGTGTGCTCTGTCACGAAAGAAAACATTCTAGTTTATTTCCCCCACCTACTCGCACAGTGCGAAACGTTCTTGCGGATGTGTGAAATGATTTCCAAAAGTATGTTTTCACTAGTTAACTGGTCTGAAATCAAGTGCAAGGATTCTAAGCTGAAACGAAAAGGGACCACGTGGAATAAGGGGTGATTGTAGCAGCACTGCGTGCACCATGGTATCACACAAGGATGTACCGGGAAAAGGAAAATATCGGAATAAAGAGTGAAACCACATTCAAGAATGTATACATAAAGCCTAATGTAAAGAAAACTTTTCTGTGAATGGAATGTAATAAATTATCCGTTGCAATACCTCGTTTAAACAAGCTGATGACTGTTTTCGTTAAGCAAATCCCATTTTTAATATCAAATAAGGCGGAAAGAACTCTCTCTGTTGTACGAACCTAGTAAGATTAAAAAGTTTCCAGTGATCACTGTAATAAAAAGTTCGATGGACCTACCATCTAGTTACTCTGCTGACGTGGTACATAATCAGAATAAAAGTACCTACCCAAAAAACTGGCGATTCAGCCTTAGTGGATGACCACCAGTACTGTTCCTTCAGATGATGATGAAACCAGTGTCATGGAACTGTCAAACTGAGTCAACCATTCTTCGAAAAACGGATACCTGAATTCGCATTGAGCTATGACACCGCATTGCGGGACGTAACCATCCTTAATACATTTATTAGGCTAACCCACTTTCTGCGTAAGCACTGACATCACATTACATGCGGGAAAGTGATACGTTAATCGGTCATGAATGAGTTGTGCTGCAGAGAAAGCCTTCAAGGGAGAATTCACCTAAACACATATTGCTGGGGTTGGACGCAGATGCTTTCTGGCAACCGTACATGAACCGGACGCGAATCTGAAAAGAAACCAGCATAGATGATCAACGGACGCACCACAGAGCCCCTATACAGCCTCCAGAGCTTGACTACCTCTTTTCTATGTGGTATTACGCAAGGAGGACCAGTACTAGTGAAAGTTGGTGAGAAACCACGCAGGCTGAAACTCCTAAAGACAACCCAAATTCCACATGACGGGTAATGAGCCCGAATGAATATCTACATCATTCGTGTTTGAACACCTCTTCTCACGTCCTGGCATTGTTATTTCGGTCCGCCACATCAAACAAGGTAGTCTGAATTGCACCCTTAGTGGTGATAACCAACGGGGCACACACTAGACAATATCGAGATTTGAACTCGCTACCTGACAGCGAAGGTAAGCGTGAAGCAGACAATCCACACAATGACACGCTGGATGACTGAATCACCTCACCAAAACAGGATATGTTGATACTGATGAAAGCAAGGCCTTGGCTGCGGTGTTGTTTATTAGAAAACGCCAACTGAACAGTTACAGACTATTGGACAGGGAACTCTCATATGCATTTTTTTTTACAAAAACTGAATATCCATCTTCTTGAACGCGTCTTCCTGAACTTTCCTGGATGTTTCCTGTGTTACGCAAATAAAAGCAAACGCCACAAAGCGACTTCACAAATTCCGTAAGAGAACTCAGTTTTCAAGAGACGCGAAGCGGATCTACGAGAAAACATACTACTCGCATTCCTGATCAGTAGTATCTACCGTTACATTAATACTGATGCTGATACGTCCCCAGAGGACCGAAACCTCTAAGAATTATCGCACCACAGTGGGAGCAGGACTAGCTAAACGCAACCCGCACAATCTGGAATCATTCGAAATTGAACAGTGACCGCTGGTAAGGGCGTCGCAAAAAAGGAACACACAGCACTACCCTTACGCACAATCTTATTCATATCTATACATAGCATGACCAATATACATAAAGCTCGTGAGTCAGAAGCCAGAGCATTTAAACGGAGATGGGGGAGCATGAATCCCATGAACTGTTCAAATAGAACACATTATTTAATCACTTTTTTTCAAGTGGAAAAGTAAGATAACATGCGCCATAATGTATACAATGCATATTATTACTTTGGCGAACCCGAATTTACAAGCCAAAAAAACTGTACAAAATTATATACATGGTAGAAACGTGACTCAAATTACGGGACCGAGGTAGAGTCTGGCTCACAGGGTGCATCTGAAACAGAACTAACACTGCGTCTGTCAGGCGAAGTGACCCGTAAACGACTCGAGGGAACAGAAGTGGTGCTGGGGACTACATAGGCCCTCTGTGTCAGTCCAGAAGCTGGCGAATCCAGTAAACGGGCTGGTGTGTCAGTTACGAGATAATTCGGCGTCTGAGGATGATAACAAACGGGAGGAGGTTCCCTTCCAGGTAGACTTTGTGGGGATGGAGACAAATTCCAAAGCTGCACTTCCGACCGAAAATCGTTTCGAATCGAAGCGGGTGTGGCACCGTAGGACTTTGAACAGAGGATGATTTTCCGCCGAAATGGCTCATTGGGTCTCGGAAGTTTGATCGTATCAAAATAGGAAAAACCCAGGTCCACCAGAAGTGGCTCCAATTTCAACGGATCAATTTTGAGCGTTTGAAAAGTAGAGCGATGTTTAAACTAAAACAGATAGATTCGGATGAGGCAGAAAATAGGAACTTACCGTAAACCGAGTGCGTCGATAGGATGATTTTGGTTGTGGTTCAAGAATTAAATGTCCACCTGGTTTGAGAAGGTTGAAAGCACGTCTGAAGAAGCGCATTAACCCAGCATCCCCGTGGTTGAGGTGAATCCATTTTGTCACGCTAAAGGCCAGTATGGTGTCATACTCGGGTTCCTCGGTTGGTGTTGAACTGTCGATCCAGTTAGCCACCTGAAAATTTATTTTATCATACCTTATCCCGGAACCGGTATCCCAACGTAGCCGTTCACGCTGCATGCTTTTGGCGTTCGCTATCAACTCCGCGTCACAGTCAATAGCGTCGATGTGTCGAACATCGGGAAACCGTTCCAGGATGCCGAAGGTTAGCGTTCCATTATGACATCCGTAGTCAGCAATATCCTTTCCTGTGAACCATTCGGGCATGAGGTATGGCAGGCGGTCATTGGGATCTCGACGTGAATAGTAATCACCGTAGTTCCCAGTGACTGGAACCTTTCGACAGCGTTGCCGCCGCGAAGAATAGCGCTGTACTCCTCGTGGTGGGCGCGCCCGGTTTGCAGATATTCTGGGCTTTGTTATTTGCTTCAACATCATTGAGTCCTGAGACGATCTGGCATCCGGACCAGCCGGCAGGAGCGCGACCTGGGGACTTTCATTCCCTGCATCACCGGCCATACTGAGAGCTGGTGTGTTAAGACGAGAGTCCCCGCGCAAAGGAGATAGTCCTTCTGAACGACGGCGTTCAGTTTCCTTCATCAAATCCTGCAAGTTTAACGGGTCACTAGGGTTTAATGTTATCTTGGATTTTGTAAAATTTCGAAAGCGTCGACGAGGTTGGAATCGTGGTCGGACGGTGCTGCGACACGTTTTCCACGATGTTCGTAGATTTTGTCTCGATGTATTAGAGACTAAAGCCAGCTGATTAGCTGATAACGGACAAAATCTAGAACTCGGCAGACTGGGCGGAGGGATACCCCGCGGAAGTAGTGGACGCGGTCCGCGAGGCCAAGCGCTGAACGTATGGGTACTGATACGACCGGCACAGACTAGCTCACGTGTTCTGAAGAGCACTGAAGCAGAGAAAAGAATGATGAACTTAGTCTCGATAAAACAGATAGGGAAAATTAGATATGCCAGTGCTAAAATCTCAAGTAATGAGTGCTTGTCGCGGCTACCGCTGACCAAATATCTCAAAAATAGTGAGGAGATGGGAACTGAAACAACATGTAGCGAGTATATTATAAAGTGTGTAATATGTCAAAACCTATGGGTAGTCTTAAGTCCTGTCCCAGAATCCACTCAGTGACTGGTATTGGCATTCGGGCGTAATACACTCCAATTAATACCTGGAGATATGTTGGTCCCCGAGATAAGCCACCAATGACCGATCCCAAAGAAATTATATTTACCACGCGATACGTGTCGTTTAACGTAGGTACAAGGGTAGATACATAAAGCCGCTACGCGGGAATTTCAGTGTACACTTATAAATGCGAATAAGGAAGTCCAGTGGTGCTCCAGAGCAAATGGATCGAACTGCCTAGTTGGGAGAATGATGCATCCTGAAGAGAAAATACTAATGCATGTACATTTAGGTAGTAAAAAACAGACCAGCAATAGGTGCAGTGGTCACCTCGTAGGATCTTACATTCGAAGACCACCCCTTATTAAGATCGTTTCCTTTGACTTTATAATGACCAAGACAACTCTGATCCAGTAACACAACAGGACAACGCATCCCTGATCCACAAAAGTGATGCGTGATTCAATTACGAAAGATTAGTCCATGTTTATAATCTGCTTAAGCCATCAGTATGGAATTGAAGTGTACTATTGGATACAGGTCAACAGGGCACTGTTTCGGTACACTAGAATATAGTGGCCGTGTGCGAAACCTTGTGCGTTTGCGCCCCATAGACGTAGACCTAAACCACATAGACATCGTACGAGTACATTTGAAAATCTTCAAGTCAAATCTTAGACTTAATGGACACAAGAACTAAGAGCACCCCAGTGTACAATGGACCCATTCCGCTGGTCGATGAGCCTACGAGTGGGAAATTCGAATACTGGGAAATATTTCGCGTGATTTTCAAAATTGAGCAATGATATTTCAGTTGTATCATGCCGCTTAGAACAGTATTTGTAGGTATGTGATGGAACATTTCTCTGCACTAGAGATGAATGTGCTACATGATCTATCCATATGCATGCTGTAAATCGTTCAGCTGTAGCACCCATTCGGTGCCTAGCTTCCATACCACCAGAAAGCACGAGGGCTGGGATACTATCTAGATTCCAGAAAGGGGAAGTCCAAAAATAAAGGTCTGGTTCGAACCACGAACCTTCCGGTCAGTAAATTCGCGCTCTAACCACTGAACCATCTCACCCGCGTGCTGAGCATCATGGTGAGTCTACATATTAATCGTCAGCCTCTGTAATGTAGGTTATTACAAAGGAGTAGCTTTTGTTTGGATAGCCCAGGTGTCAATGTTGTGGAATTCCGTTCCGCCCGGGTTCGAGCACCCGGACGGATGTCGGCGTTCGCTTTCAATGTGGAACACAGTGAAGGTGGGACAAGAGAGCAATGCAACCTATGAATTCTAGACTTAAAGGCGAAGATTATTCTGTCACAGCGCCACAGATGTCGGTAGTCGGTAGAAACACACATTGGAATTCCGTTTAACAGGATTGGTTTGACTTTTCACCAAAAAACATCGGGAATAATACGGTTTTCTGTGCACCTCTTCCGTTACACTGATTCGTCGGTCTGCAAACATGGGATCCGGATTGGACCGTAATCGCCCTCCTATGATTTACATGCCTTAAGCGCATACCGAATCACATGACATTGTCATTTAAACAATTCACACATTCAAATTGTCCGACCCTGCAACATCTGTATGCCCAACGCATGTAAGCAAGCGTTCTAAGTTTGGTTCCACAGGTGTCGTTGCTAGGTAGGGGGACTCCAATATCATAGCGTAATGGGTGATGGATAGTAAACGGAGCCAATGATGCCTTTCCACTGCAAACATATTCGACTTTATCGTGGTATGGCAGTTTCTGCGCCACTATGACCTTCTGAGACAGATCTGACGAAAACAACCTCCTGGTCCTTCAGGTTGGGGGTGAGGGAAAGCACGGCGATTTGCTGTAATAAGCTTGTACCACAGTGACAGTATACCAACACTCACCCAGTGCGTTGCCAAAGACATTGACTGAGGTTTGTAGTTGCCTAACAGTATCCCAGGCTGCATACAACACTGCAACCGAAAATACGACTACGCGACGTCGGCCGTCATGTGGTAGCATCACCCAGGTCACCTTAATTAATGGATAACACAGGGCTGGTAAGAAAAAACTGCTGATGCCTTCCCAATATTTCCCCCTTATAATCTACCCCCACTTCACTCTGTTCGACTTGCATTAAACTCAACTGCATTTTCCACACGTCGGCTAGCAACAAACTCAAGCTCAATGTTCAAGCCCCGAAACCCAACTACTTAACTGCCTTCACTGTTCGCGCGGTGAAGCAAACAAGAAAAGCGGCCTTTGCTCACAGGTCGGATTCCATCTGCATTGATGCTGTCTGACAGAAAGAATTACCGTAATTAAAACGACTGCCACCTCTTTCGCAGAAGGACGTGAAAAACATCACAATGAGCTTGTTTGTTATTGGTGCGATCAGCCCTCCAGAATGGAATCACAGTGACTGCAAGAAACGGAGGTTAATCGACGTCAGTGGTGTTCGTGCCCTTTCTTTCCAAGTTGTCTAAACAAGTGCTGGAGGGGTAGGCACGCTAAAATACCTGCGGTAGACTAGTATCAAGTCCTTCCCTCATCCGCTGTTTTCTCTTTTTTCACTAAGACAACAAAGTACCAATGTTGCTGACTCTGGAGATGATATTGATGACAAACGACACTTTTGAGATCAAGAACAACCACTTCAGGCCATAGAGTGCTACTGTTTCAGCACTTGTCACAGGGCGCAGTACCAGCTATACCTGCAGTCCATGTTTACTTAAGTTTAGGCGACTTACCTTCACCGAACAGCTTTAGAGAGCCCCTTAGATGATGTCACTATCAACGTGGTACTGAGCTGATTTGCACAAGCCTTTGCACCATGAAACCGTAGTTAGTCCTCTATCCAATAAGTACGGTCGGAGGCTGTTGAGGATATCAATATCCCCAAAAACTCTGTATCTTCATGTGTGCTAACGAACTTGCGGCATTTTTCAAAGTCAAATTAAGGATGTATATTCAGTATCACTATTCTGTAGTTCGCCTGTTGTTTAGAAAAAGATTTCGTCTGCTTATTATTTCGCTGTACTAGACTGACTTCCTTAAAGTCCCTAATTGTTCGGCACTTAGATTGCACCACACAAAACTTGGGAGTATACAGAAGAGGAATGACTGGAGAAACCATATATCTTTCCTGCGTTTGGCGGATGTGAGAATCACCAGGGTATCAGCCTAAGCACGACCGATTTCAAGTTGCTGACGGGCATTATTTACGCAAACAAACCAGCATTAGCGAATATCGGTCGTAAAAACTAAGCAGGATTCCGTGCGGGTCGGGGATGCATCAACCGGTCCACCGGCAATAATGAGGCTTGGGTTTGATCCCATCCAGTCTGGAAGTAACACCTTATACTTTACAGGTGTGACATGCAGGCCCAAACACGCAGAACAATTATTTAGGTCATTCAAAATGGTTCAAAATGGTTTGACACATAAATGGAAATATTATTGGCGTACTCAACACACTTGAGCGAACGCCAAGGGAGTGTCCAGATTATCAGCATCAGGGGAGTGCAAAAACACAAGTAGCACAAAGATTAGGAGGTTAAAGAGAAGGGGCAATAGAGGGTACCCATGCCAGACACCAGTGAATGTAGCGAGTTTTCTGCAAACAAGTACACGTCCAAAGAAAGAGGCTTATGGAACCGTTATAAAAAGAAGTTTGAAGGACAACTCCTTATCGTCAGACACGCACAATATCTAGCGATCACCGAAATCAGAAGTAGCTATCACATTGATAAAAATGACTAGTGTTGGACATAGGAAACATCTTAGCCTTTCCAGCGAATCTCACGCAACGAGCACACGAGCCATGGAATTCCAGTCAGGGGGAACGCCAGCTGGATTCTCGCGAACCTGACTCTCTCGATAATGAATCAAGCTAAAAAGGTTAATACCACAGAGTGCCTTGGAACCTATGACCACTAGAGTGACTACCAGGTGGTTTTCGCACGACCATTTTACACACTTTTTGAACATGGAGCTCACCGTCGATGCGCTAGATTCTGTCGATATTCTTTACTCACTTCAGATATTTTGGGGGAACTCGCCACCTGTAAAGAGCGCAGGATGTAAACCATCTCGAACAGATTCTGCATTGAAGCAGTGATATTGCATACTCGACTTCTATTGTGGATTGCGAACAGGTGTCGAAATTCCATCGAGGTTCATACGGTCCCTCCAAGGGGTGAGTTAATTGGGCCCAACTACTATTCTTCCAAGAGTTCAGCGCATCCATGGAGACGACGCCACCGTGAATGAATTGAAGTCATGTTCTTTTCATGGAATGTCCCATTAACACCTGCCCACCTCGTACTAGTTAGTCGGATTAGCTGGAACAGGGTGCTGTTGTTTCACGTTGCAAAAGCCTCCTCCATTTCCCAGCTTTTTTCGATCCACTGGCATCCTCATTCAACCAGGTTTTTCAAGTGATCCGTGCGCATCATCACAGTGCTTTGTTGCTCGTATAATTTTCCTGCATTCAGTCAGAGCTGTTGATCGTGACGGGAACCAGTGTTCACTGGAGTAAGTGGGCGACTCCAGACAGACGGTTTCAAAAGGTGTGAGTATGACTTCTCCACCCTTTCTACAACCGTTACTCAAATCAACATTACCAGTACTGTGCCTGTCAATTTTTGGAAGCTAATCAGACAACTCAAATTGATATTCTTTGGAAGCACAAGCTTTTTGCATGGGATGGACTGGATGGCCATGGATCAACCAGCGCGTTCCAGATGAAAATCAGTAAATGTTCCTAGTCTTAGTC